GATTTAAAAAAAAAAAAAGATGCTTCTGTATGCGTTATTATTATTCTATATTTTTGTGTTAGTGCACACTGCATCGTAAGCATTGTCTCAGCTTTACTTTCACAAAAAAAAAAAAAAAAAAAAAAAAAAAAGTATTAAAAAAATATATATATAACAAAGCAGGTCACTTTTAACCTACAGAGGTGCGTGACCTGCATCACCGGAAGTTGTTAGCGGTCAGCCGTCTGCACTTGTAGCTTGTAATCAGAGGTGTTGCCCTATAACTTTTTTTTTTTTTTTTTTTTTTTTTAATTGTCCTCATTCAAAGTTTGTTTCACTTTCAATTCACCGATGGCACGGGCAAAGAATGGGATTCTGAAGTGCCAGGAGAAAAAATTAAAGCGATAGATGTGAGCTACGATAGTGCTGTTTTTGCATTGAAGACGCTGCCAAAGTGCGTCCCATGACGCCGTGTCCGAACTGACAATGCCAAACACATTTATAGTTTTGAAAAGTACAATTTGTGCTCATAAACACCATTGATGAATGATCACATTTGTGCAAATCGCGCATTTGAAGAACTTAAAAGTAAAGGGACAAGACATTGCCATGTGCAAACATCATCATCAAAATGATCCAAATGGATATGGTTCAAATTTTTCAGACCCAGTGTTGCTTTTATAAATGAAATGCATTTTCAATACATTGTGCATCTTGGGTCAAAGATGCGTGTTTGACATTCGTTTCAGAGGTTGATCCAGCATCGCTTGTGCTTTAGCATGGTCTGACGAGGTTCTAAATTTTTTCGCAGAATACGTACTAATTCAAGTGCGATGTTGATGAATTCCATATTTGTCCGTCAAATGTGCGTACACACATTTGGCACAGCAATTGGTGCATCCGAACGGTTAGTGAATGGGGCCCATTGTCCTTGAAAATTTGAATTGCACCTCAAATCCGTCTGAATTTTGACCTTGGACGTTGCAATGGACAAAACTGCAAAACATTTTTTGCGAAAGACTTTCAGAGAGAACACATTGTTTGATGTTGTGATGTCAGTTGCATGAGATGGTAAACAAGTCACACAATCTCATCACGAGTTTTCCCATTGTCATTATCCCAAGGCTATTGAGTGGTGATTCTAATGGTCTCACCCAAGACATGTTTGTAATATACGCTTGTAATCACATTTCAGGGGTATCTATTTTTTATTTGGGACATCAATGTTTCATTAGGTGAGAGAGCAGTGTGACCCACAGCTATTGTTGCAAGGGCTCAGCAAAGGTGTTTAGAGAAACCATCACAATGGAACTTTTCACCTGCGTCTGTCTGGCAGCAGATTTGAGATAGGATAGCAGATTTATCTTCACATTTGGGTTCTGCTGCCGGGCATTCATGCTTTGTTGTGAGATTGAAATTTAATCCTCTTAGATATGCAACGTGGCCTCAAAACACAGATAATAAATATGCATGAGTAAACAATATGCATTGCTGTGTCGATTTACAACATTCTCTTGGATTTGCATGCAAATAAATGTTATTATAAGCAAATAACTATGACCACATACGGGACAAAGATGACTGCGCCCCTGAGCCGTTGATGCAAGGCCCCACCGTGTGTAATAATGGAGTGAATGAAATTTTGGGTTGGTGGTCGCTGACTGAAGTCTGCTTCTACAAAACAAACACTCTGACTGCAGCAGCCTCACAATAAACGTCTATGAATGTCAAAACAAAAACTAGTGTTATTTTGTAATCCCCTAATACAATGTTGGTCTGAAATGATGTTGATTAAAATATTCTTCATTAAAAATGCATCCACAAAATGATTCATATTTGGCTGACTTTGAAATATTGCAGAGGGATAATGGCAAAAGAATGAACAGCAACAAAGAGCTGTTAGATGAAGTGCTGCAGGCGACAGACTGCAAGTTTAATGTGTCAGCGAGGTAACCAGCTTCGCTCACGGTGCCCCGCTGCTTGCAGACACGCCGTGCGTGCAGCATGAATTCAAATCAGGGATGGCAACGGAACAATGGAGAAATGGCCAGTTATTGCTTAAATTACTGCCTTATCAGACCACGGCAGCTATCACTGTGATTGTTTCATGACTTGATGAATCACATTAACTATACCATATATTAGCTCTTGCTTCAAAATTCTCTCTGCTGACAAAATGAAGAAAGAAAGAGCACAAAACGACACGGTGATCGACCGGTTACCAGATCTACCTGACAGTTTTGAAGGTGAGGGTTTGAATCTTGGCTGTGACCTTCCTGTGTAGAGGTTGCATGTTCTCCTTACGCTTGCGTTATTTTTCTGATGGTACTCAGAACTCCAATCAAAAAGATGCATGCTAGGTTTGTCTAAATTCACCATAGGTATCAATTTGAGTGTTTCTTTTGTCTGTTTACAACCCTTGTGAGGATAAGTGGTTCGGATATTGGATGGATGGATGGACGTGCCCTGTGGCTGGCGATCACTCCAGGGTGTACTCTGCATCTCTCTCTTAAATCAGCTGACAAGTTCCACTTCATCCGCGACCCTAATGAGGAATGCGCTGTCGAAAATTTGATAAAATGGAAACTAATTCCATGCCTCTGGAATCAGTTGCATTGCAGATGACTGGAGTGGATGAAATGAGTGAACTCAAAAATTGCAACAGTATCTCATGTTCATGAAACTTATTAAACCATGAACTGGTACAGTCGACTCTAGCTCCACATTAAAAACAGTTGGGTCAAAAATAACCTACATTGGTTCATTTTTGACCAAACTGCTGGGCTATTATAGTACCATCCCAACAGTAGTGAATTTGGGTGGGTTGATTTAACACAACAGGTGAGTTCAATATTCTACCCAAATTTTGCGTCATATCAACTATAATTCTGGGTTGTTTTAACTAACATGTTGTTGTTGAATAATCTATCCAAATGGTTGTTCTCATGAACCATTATATAATTGCATATGTATTATTTCATTCATTCTATGAACCGCTTATCCTCACTAGGGTCACGAAGGTGCTGGAGCCTATCTCAGTCATCATCGGACGACAAGCAGGGTACAGCCTGCACTGGTCACCAGTCATTTGCAGGACAGAGCGAACAACCAGTCACAGCTTCAGATTTAGAGTCTTCACTTCACCTACCATGCATGTTTTGGGAATGTGAGAGGAAATCGGATAACCCACAGAAAACCCACGAGCATGGGGAGAAATTGCACACTCCTTACAGGAAGGCCGGAGCCCGGATTTGAACACCTTCAATGCGAGGCGGATCTGCTAACCACACGTGCCGAATATGATATTATTACTATCACCATTTTACCTCTACCAAAATATATGATAGATTTGGTCACTCAAACATATGAATTATTCAACGCAAGGCTCTTCAAATAAATTTAGCGCAACAATATTTCAAAATAACTTTTAAGTCAATAACCATAAAAAAAATCAAACCAGTGGCAGACGAAACAAGTAACAGTATCAGTGCAAAAGAAGTAAAATTAAGGTGAGCCAATGGCTCAATTTATCAGCACACAAACTGTTAAGAAATGGTACCACATTTGACTTTACACTTGGCATTTTGCGGACCACTGTTTGCACCACTTTGGTTATTAAAGATATGGGTAGTGTCCCGATGCGATGACCTCACCAAGATACGCCATCATGTTTGTCCCTAGCTGAAAAGAAATACAGAATGCAAAAGAGCAAGCGAGAGAGTATGAGTAAGGGCCAAATGTGCACAAATCATATGACGGTTTGTCATTCCACTAAACATACTGTAAAAATGCATGCGGCTAAACTATATGACCATCATATCTGGCCAAGACAGATGGGTTTGCTGGTCAGATTGATGGGCTGGAAATGCTTTGCAGATTTAAAGGTCTTCTTTAGAATCCATCTCATATAATTGAGTGCGAAGGAAAATGTGTGTGTGTGTGTGTGTGTGTGTGTGTGTGTGTGTGTATACACATTCTTGTGCCCAGGAATAACAGCTATATGTTAATAACATGAATAAAGTCTGTGCTGGAGGATTTCCATGCTTATTGTTGAAGATGGTCAAGCCACCTTCTTGAATGGTGTGTTTTATTTGTTTTGCGGCCAACTTTATATGGTTGAAGTGGACGCACGGCTGGCATCTGTCTCAGTGTGAATTCTCCAACTTCATCTGAAGGAAGACATATGATAAGTAACAATAACTATGGAATGGCATACCTATGATTTTGTCATTCTCTCTCCAACTGTCAGAAAAGGTAAAACCCACATTGCACAGGTGGTACAAAAATCAATTTGTGGTGAGCCTGATTTATTTTACTGGAAACGCGACATTTATACGTTGTCCATATTCGAGTTATGGTCAAAATTGCAAACATGCATGGGCAGACCATTACTCCCATACACATCGTAATTATGATCCATTGGAATATTCCCATCTCAATTGCAATGCATTGACAAGGTCATGACCAAATAGACATTTCCACTTCTTACTTTCTACAATCAATGAAATACATTACCGGTATCTTCATGTCTTTCACCACAATGATTAAGCTGTCAGTTTCATCCTTGCGCCAAAAGTGTGCTGCTGTGCTGCGTCTCAGTTTCTCCATGTTTGTGTGCGTTGCATGCCAGACGCTGCGCATCCATATACTTCCTGTACTCAAAAGAACAAGATTCCTTGCCGAGAGAGCATGTGTAGCACACAAACAAATGTTCCTCTCATTAGAAATTTTCCGATACGTGTTTATAAACTGGAATATTAGCAATATTCCAGTTTTGAAGGGATTATTGGCTTTATGTAAACATAGTCACCGACATATTTAGTGATAACGGGCAAAGGTTTAGTTTTACTAATGTGCATCAGCACAGTGCTAATAGTTATTCATTCCTAAATAAATACGTAAATACTTGACTTTGTGAGGTTGATACATTTTTTATATTTTTGGGGATCTTTCATACATCAAGTTTGCTGTTAAAAAAAACACAAAACAAAAATCAAACAAAGCAATATAAAACAACAAAATAAGACAAAATATGAGATTTTAATCTTTGCACAAAAAGCATGTAGTTATGAAAAATGATAGATCACAGTAGACATTTTTCCAATAGGGATTTCTTCATTTTAGGGCTTGGCAAATTGGTAAACACACGCAGCAATCTTTGCGCTGATATGAAAATCAGGATTGCAGCATTCGTGCCACCACGCAGATGCGCCATCTACGAAAATAGAGTCCAATGTTGTGTTCTACTTGTCAGAAGGGATTCTTGCAACAGGCCTCAGTAGTACCACTAATAAAGAACGAATCTACTGTAGTGGAGTGGCTGTGCATTGTGAATAGGTTAAGGATCAAGGCATTGTTTTGTTGAGATCAGAAAGTAACACATCCTCGGGATGAATTCCTGGAAACTGGGCCTGATGAAGAACAGAACACAAAGAGTCATGGACACTACTGGAAGGGAGGAAAGGGTGTAATAACTGAGGCGGAAAGGAAGTACAACCACGGAAGCATGGTCAAATGAAGATGAGGTTTGCCCAGTGGTTGGAGGATGTTGCAATAATGGTAAGGGAATAGCAATGGGATCTAAAAATTAAAAAAAAAAAAAGTGAAGTTTCTGTGTTAAAAATACATTTCACAATTCCAATGAAGTTGGGACATTGTGAATAGAATGACTGGCAAACCCTTTTCAGGCTGATTGCCAATCATAGGGCACACAAAGACAAGCATCTACACTTAAAATCACGCCAAGGTACGATATCGAGAGTCCAATTAACCAACCATTCATGTTTTCGGAATGTGGGAGGAAACTGGTGTACTTGGAGAAAACCCACGCAGGCACGAGGAGAACATGCAAATTCCACACAGGAAGGCCGGAGCTGGAATCAAACTCTGGACTTCTATACTGTGGGTTGGACATGCAAACCAGTTCGACTACTGTGCCACCCTCAAGCAAAACATTTTTTTTTCAAAATTATATAATCTGAGGAGCGTTCAAGGAGCCAAAAGATCCTTTTCATGAGTCGAGCCAAAAGTAGTGGCCGCTCGTGATCCTTTATGATGTTAGTTGCTTTGGTCCTTTATTTTGCACAGGATTGGCAGTGGCCTGGTGTCTTTCATCATATGAGCTCTGGTTGCTGAGTCACATATTTCCAGAAGATCTCATTTTCTCCCATGCATCGGGCGCACATTACCACTATTCCCTCCAGCCGTGCTCTCTGTTGTTACTTTGTTTATGCCGTTCTCCGCCCGATGGGTGATTTTGTATTTTTGTACATAAAGACTGTTACTTGGCTGCTTCCATGTCCTGTCTGCTTCTGGGTCCAAATTCTGCTTCTCACGTCACAAGAAGAGCCATCTAAAAGACCTGGAAATCCCACTGACTGATGTGGGGTGAAATTCTTAGGATGAACACTTATTATATGACAAAGTTTTATGCCGAACGTCTATGCTGATGCACCCCTCTACAATCAACTGGGCTTGGAAATGGCTTACGGTTTGCATTGGCTTGTGCCCTCACAGGGCTTCACATTGCCAGTCAGAGATTACGTCTGAAAAAAAAAACAAAACATCTAAATTACTTCATATATGACTGACGATAAAAGATGTATACTTCCATTAAATTAAAGCTTACTTTGTATGGAAGAATATTGTAGATTTTTTTCTGTTTTGCGTAATTTGCCTCTTACATGTGTTACAATCTTTAAAATAAATACCTTTTATTTTTTAGAACAATTTAACAATGCACAAAACCAAACATTCTCTTTTGTCTTTTTTTTTTCTAAAACATTCCTGAACTCAATCAACTGGCGCCTTTAATCGACATAATAATTTTGGAATCACACAGCCCATTCTTTGTCCCACCCCCATTTTTTTTTTAATCCGCTTCCCTGGAAAATACAGATAAAATAAACTTTAGTAAATTAATTCTCGGGTACTATACCAAATTTTAAAACAGTTTTGATTGACGAGGGATTTAATGCTAACGGCGATATCGTGATACTGCAATATTAAAATTGCCACGATAGCATCATTGTCATGTCACGATATTAAAAGCGGCACATTTGTTAAAAAGGGCACATTGTTTATCATTTGTGCAGTTTCACCACGCTGTGGTAGTTGGTTTATGAGTTCAGTTTAATCTGATGATGGCATGTTTTGGCGAACTACATTAAGACCCACATTAATCACCAGATGAAGGGGAATGTAACACATTTGAGTTCCTCCACAAATTGACTCGATTCACAATGTGCACGTGCATTAACAAGTAAGTGCCTCAATAATTAGTGGGATTAGTGACGATAGGTTATTTATGTACAGTGAGGTTAATGTTACCATGAAATATATGTATAATTTTGACCTCATCTGATTAGCATTGTATAGATGATACATTAACATTCAATTGCTCATATTTAATTTGGTGGCGTTAACCACTGGCCTGGTGGTCCAGTGGTTGGCGCATCGACCTCACAGTGTGGAGGTACTGGGTTCAATTCCAGCTCCGGCCTCCCTATGTGGAGTTTGCATGTTCTCCTCGGGCCTGCGTGGGATTTCTCCAGGCACTCCGGTTTCCTCCCACATTCCAAAAACATGCATGGGAGGCTTATTGAACACTTTAAATTGTCCCACGTTGTGGGTGTGAGCGTGGATGGTTGTTCGTCTGTGTGTGGCCTGCGTTTGGCTGGCAACCAGTTCAGGGTGTCCCCCACCTACTGCCCAAAGACGGCTGGGACAGGCTCCAGCACACCCCACAACTCTTGTGAGGATAAGCGGATTGGAAAATGGATGGATGGATGGATGGGTGGATATTTAATTTGTACTTGTATTTTGTGTCCTACAGTCTCCCCCCCATCTCCCACACACACACACACACACACACACACACACACACACACACACACACACACACACACAAAAACACAAAAAGAAAATTCAACAGTCCAAAGAGACCTGGTTTGATTAGTGCTCACATGGGCTAAACTATGTATAACTGGCCACAGTGCAGCAGTTGCCACTCCTATAAATCAGTCATGCCAGCAAATACTTTTCTCCATCAACAAACACTACTTTCCACCCGCTTCAACCGAACCTAGCATTGTGAGCTACATAAGACCGTCATACTTTGAACCAACAGGAGCACATAGCAATAAAATGACTGGCCAATCTTATTTTTATTTTACTGCTGTTATTAAATACAAATACACAATGCTTTTTTTTTTCAACATGAGCTTTTTTTCCACCCACAATACTGTGAGTTTTTTATAAGGTATCATACTTTTTTTTTAATTTACCAACCTTTCCACAATATTGTGATAATTATCATATCATGACGTTCATGGTGTGATCATGTCGTATCATGACATTTGGATATTGTTCCATTCCAATGATTAACCCAAAGTACCAGCAACAATGCATAAAAAAAAAAAAAATCTTTCAAGTTAGCAGGTCGATCTCAGCCTGCTATTGTGCTGTCGAGCACAATTACTATCTGCCATGTTTAATGAGAGATATCACCGATATATGAAAAATGATGTGAAAAGTAATCAATCCTGTAACAAATCGTCAGTTTCTATAATACACTAGTGTTCCCAATTTCCATTTTGTCAGTGCAAAAGGATGAGGATCATTCTTCCAATCCATTGAGACAATGCCTCAATTTTAGAATTGACCAGGCACTGAAAATGCCAGAACCACCCCATGCGTGCACAAAATTGGAGAGGTAACACTTCATTTGTTATTCTGCTCAACAACCATGTCAGTGACTCTCCCCCTCAGCCTGAATGAACTCCAATTATGGAGAGATCTTTTGCACACTATGTATGCTGATAGTTCTGGTCCAATCCACAGAGTCCACTGTGTCATTTGGAGATTGCAGTTCAGGCAAATGTCTCGCTAACAAGAATGTTTTTGAGAGGTGCTTCCATTCTCTGAAAGTATTTTTAATCGTTGTTAAAGGCAAAACTCCTTTTTTTCGCATTTACATGGAAATGTATATCGTCTTTATTATGTTCATTATAAAGTTCAGACCATTGTGGCCCAGTTGTGAAGACATTGAAAAATTGTTTGATCGAACTCCAGCGGAGGTCAAGACACACACAATGTATGTGTGTGTGTGTGTGCGTGTGTGTGTGTGTGTGTGTGTGTGTGTGTGTGTGTGTGTGTGTGTGTGTGTGTGTGTGTGTGTGTGTGTGTGTGTGTCCGTAAAGGCCTTTTCACACTGCACTTAGCAGAGCACAGAGCGCCGTCGCTGAACTCAATCTTTGAGGGCTGTGAGGATGACGCTCAAGGTTACCATCTGTTAGCCTCTTAGCCTCTCTCCCATAGCGTCATGCATGGATGCTTTTTTTGGGGCGGGGGGGCTGGGACGGACGCTCTTTAAAAGGGCGAGGACGGACGGGAACGGAGGACGACCATTATATGAATAAGGGTGTAGGGGTGATGACGGAAGAGTTCCCAGCAGGGATGGGGTCATGGTCAACATTTTGTCAACAATTGCGTGAGCTAATAGTCAACAATTGCGTGAGCTAATAGTGTTGAACATTTGTCAACATACATTTGCAAGGAATTTAAGGATTTCATCATGTACAGTCCACGATATCATCAAAAGATTCTAGATAGTCTGGAGAAATCTGCATGTAAGCGCCAAGGCAAAAAACCCAACATGCCCAAGGACCTCTGATCCATCAGGCTCACTGCAATATAAACTTACATTATTGTGTAAAATACTGTATATTGCTTTGTGGGCTCAGGAACACTTCAGAAAAGTATTGTTAGTTACATTACACAGTTTGTTGCTACATCTACAAACACAAGTTGTAGCTATCTTGCAAAGTGAAAGCTATATATCGGTAACACCCATAAATGACGCTGGCTTCTCTGGCCCCAAACTCATGCGAGATGGACTGATGCAATGTGGAAAAGTGTGTTGTGGTCTGACGATTGCACTTTTGAAATTGTTTATGGAAATCATGGACAGGATGTTCTTTGCGTCAAAGAGGAAATTGGACCATTCAGATTGCGATCAGTGCATGTGTTCAAAAGCCAGCATCTGTGTTGGTATGGGGGTGTGTTAGGGCCCATGGGATGGGTAATGTGTACATCTGTGAAGGCACCATTAATACCGAGCGGTACATAGAGCTTTTGGAGAAACATGCTTCCATCCAAGGAGCGTCTTTTTCATGGACACCCCTGCTCATTTCAACTCTGAGGCACATTCTGCATTGTGTTACAACAGTGTGGCTTCATAGTAAAACAGTGCAAGTACTAGACTGGTCTGTCTCCCATTGAAAACGTATGCTGCATTCTGCGCAAGATACAACATCTGACATCATCGACAGGTGCGCAAGTGAAGCTTTTCATCACGCAAGATTGGGAAAGAATTCCACCTCCAAAGCTTCAGCAATTAATGTCCTCAGAGTGTTGTTAAAAGGAAAGGTGATGTAACACAGCAGTAAAAATGCCTCTATCCCAGCTTTATTGTAACAGGTATCAAACTCAAAATGAGTGTATATTTGAAAAAAAACTCCCAACAAAGTTTCAGTTTGAACATTAAATGCAATGTCTTTGTAGTGTATTCAGACGATTATGAATTGAAAAAGATTTGCAAAACATTGCTGTTGCTTCTTATTTACATTTACATAACATCCTATGTTCATGGTAATTGAGGTTTGTTTATAATGTGAGGTGTCTCTGAGAATATTCCTTACAGTCAGGTCCATAAGTAATGGGACATAATTATCATTTTCTTGGCGCTAAACACCACAATTGATTTTTTAAGCCAAAGAAGTGGAACAATATGCAATGGCCAAGTCAATCACCAGACTTGAATCCAACTGAGCATGCATTTCCATTGAAGACAAATCTGAAAGGCAAATTTCCCAAGAACAAGGTGTTATCCACCGTCTAGGGGAGACCAAGGCATAGCAAAAAGTCCCAAGTGTCCACCGAAACATTAACCTTTGAGTACTGAGAGTGACTGATTGACAATATTTACAATTAGCCTTATCCTCAATCCATACCT